TCTTTGCGTGAACATTTGAGCGATGTTATGCAAAGAGATGATCACTACTAAGCAGAAAAGAAGTTCATTTCTAGTAGTTGGAACTGAAATGAAGTGTTATGTTGGAGCAGTAATGTTATCATCAGCAGAGGATACACACATCTGAGGTCCTTTTTTTCTAGTGTGTTTGACTTTTGACTATGAATACAAACTTCTTTGCCTTTACTTTTGTAGCTATTTTGCTAGTCAGCTCCAGACGCGATGTCAGTCATACACGCAAATTCAAAGCATCACGTCTGGGCACGTCAACGGGGCTTGCGCTCTTTTAAACTCGTAATTAACCGGGGAATGAAATCCAGAAATTACGCTGATTGACAGAACAATTTAATATTTAGAATACATTGCAATCACTCCAAAATAGATGACGACAATGCACAGTCGCACACACCTGCATTAGGAGCTGTACTTCTTAGCCTTTTGCTTCACAGCACCTGAAGGATATGTTTGTCACGGCAAACATTCAGAAGGTGGCATCCGCTTTGAAACGGCAACATTAATTGTTTTAATTGCAGGTGAGTGACAATTCAACTATAGCCAATGAACAATGAGGCTAGTATTTGGCTGCCTGTCTTGATTGGTGGACTAGTGTATAGGGGATGTAACGGTTATGGAGGCCTCTCCTCAAAGTCCTAGGCCCTAGACAACTGCCTGCTCTGCCTATAGTTGTGTAAGGCTGGCGATATAGACGATTTTAAGGCCGATTTTAAGCCCGATTTGTATCCCTGAACGATTGGGGTGTGTGACCAGATTCGAGGCTTGTCGCAAACGATTTTTTGTCCAAAAATCCTCTATTGTGTGGTGTCATTACGATTATTTATCTGCTCCCGATCGAGACGGAGAGTCCCCGAACTCAAATCGGGCTGCCTCTGACGTGATGCCCTCGATAGCCAATGAGAGCGAGCAAGCGGCACCTACCGGATGTTGCATGCTTCTGAAACTTGGCAGCCACAAACATGACATGAAAGCAGAGAACATCACCCATATTCTTTGTTATACTTTGTTTTTCACTGTGAAACAGAACGCGTGCCAGGAGAGCCAGCTGACAATGTTGATTGTCCTCTATTTGTTTTTCTTCTCAAGTCATGTTTGATCTCGCGAGTCTCTGTGAGATCACGTGTCACTGTGAAATCCTTCCTACAATCGACAAGTGTGTGGTCTCGTGGTCTGGTCGAATCGTCTAGTGTGTGCGTTCAGAGGATTATAAGGCTAAAAATCAGTTGAACTGTCTTCATGTCTGTGGTCTCCCATGGTTTTAAAATCTTTTAAGATTTGAAAATCGTCTAGTGTGCAGCCTAAGTAGATTGTTGGCAGATTTTATACTAAGAAAACAGTTTAAAATGAATTTAACAACTATTTCTATAAGAGGTGTTCTCTTCACTGATTATATGTATTGCAGGGTTTACAAGTGGGATCCATTTGGATGTATTTTACATTAGAAGAGTTTTGTTAGAATAATTGTATGTGTGTTTGGATCAGTTTTTGCCTGTGTGAAATTTTACATTGTGGGGACCAAAGAAGGAAAATAGCTCAATAAACACAATAAATAATGTCTAAACAAAGTAAAAATGCAGAAAGGTTCAAATGAGGGTTAGATTTAGGGGTAAAACATAAAAAATGTTTGACTCAATATAAAAACAACAGAAGTCAATGGAAAGTCCCACTATAATAGAAAAAATGTAAGATGTAGATGTAATAATGTGACCAAAGCCCTTAACTTTTTGTGGAAGTCTATAATGATCAGGTGTGCTAGATGATATGAGAAAAGGGGGAAAAATATAGATACTGTCATGTTTGTTGTATGTGTGTGTTATAGTTAATCTGAAGCACTATCCACCTTATTCTTCCCGAAAGCCCGGGCACGGCCATTTGTCATTTTTATGGGTCTGGGTTCCGGTCTCATCCGCTTCCAGCTATTTTTAGCTGTACAAAACAGCTTGTTTTGCTGCTTGAAATTGCAAATTTGTGTGTCTTATATTTTAATTATCCTTATTATGAACACGCTGGTTTGTAGTGCAAACAGTTTTACGTTTACTGCACGTTGTTACTCTTCTCGTTATTTCCCTATAACGGTTAATGAAGCGGAAGTCTCACCCATATGTTTACTTCCGCTTTGAATAGTAAGGTGGATATTTGTCTTTCAAAATTCAGAGAATTTCATTTGAATTCTGAAGGCTTGCGATCACCTAAGTAAAAACTATAAATATGATAGAAGACCTATTTCCAAACATTTATTTAACAATATTAATGATTTAAAATTGAAGTAAATTTGAAGGTGGCACTTTTCTAAATAAAACATAGTTGCAATGCAGGATCATTTATATTCTATATGAAGAGAGATGCCAGCAGCACAGACAATAGGAGCTATACTTAGCTTGTGTAACAGCTCTGACTCATTCCACATTAGTTAGCAACCATTACATTGTCTTATCTACACACATTTTCATTTAATTTCCAATGTCTTATTTTAGCAGCTTCTCTCTTTATTGGTAATGTTTTAGGCAAGATCAGGAATTAATTTGGCTATTCATGCCTCACACTCACTAGGTTTCTATCCAACCATTTTTTATGCAGATTCTGAATTAAGAAATCCTAAATGTAAAAGCTTGATATGTGCATAAACTCCCAAAATGTGTGGTTCTATACTGAGGTGGATTTTCTCCAAAATCACATTAAATTGATGGAATCATTTCAATGATATTTAGACTATTTGGGCATGTGTTTCTGCTCATACTCGCAACAAGGATAGCAACAGAGAAGCTTCTTCAAGTAATGTGTATAGTTGATAAAAACATAATGTTGCACATTCTCTTTAGCTACATTTTCAGAAATTCACCTGAAAATGTCAAACATTTGGATGGAAACCCTACAGTATTTAGTGTGTGAATGCTTTTCCAACTGGATCAAGGTAAAAAACACACACACACTTTCTCTCTGTCATTCAGAGAACATATATGCAGGTGATCCAGTGCTCTTGTATTGGTTTGATAGAGTCTTTGATTTATGTTTTCACTGCCTTCATCCCTGCAATTGCATTCTGGACAAAAACCCTCCAGCATAGCATGCCCACTTAGATGGAAATACACATGTGCACACGCATGCACAGAAACAAGTGACGAGGAAATCTTTACGCCATTATATTTCATTTATTTCTTTAATAGTTTATTCATTTATTTTTATGACATATTTATTTATAATTTATATATATCTTTATATATTATTGCTGCATTGGAGCCTTACTCAGTACTCTCTCTGCCATTCCCATAGAGCTATAGATCTCCTCCCGCATGCTTCAGAATACACCTAAAAAATACTGGGTGCAAAAAAGAAACAGTCTGATTCTATACACAGCTCGTAACACTAACTAGCCATTCTAATGATGCATCGTAACATGCCTTTGTCTGGAAATGCCCATAGTATAAAATCACTATTTTTCCTGTCCATTACAGAACAAATGCAGATAAACAACACAATTTTTTTTCTTTCTTTTTTCTTTTTGGCAATCAATGTGTACTTCTTGTTAAATAATGGCAAAAGCTACACTTCGGTGTGTGAAATACATGGATGCTGCAATATCGATATTCTAAGATATGTACAGTAATGAATGGGGGGGGG